CAGACGGAGGTCGATGCTTCTCTGCTCCGGCCTGTGGTCCTTAGGGTGAGGGAGGGGCCTGCCCGGTTCTTCAGGAGCCCGTGGGGCGGTGGTCGCATGCAGAGGCTCCCAGGCCAGGCGCCTGGGCTCACACCCACCTCCGCCGCTCTCCGGCTGCGGGACCTCGGGCTGTGACCTCATGTCGCTGTTCCTCAGTCTGCCGGCGGTAAAAGGGGACAAGGAAGGGGCTTCCTCAGAGGGCTGGGAGGTCGCATCCGTTTCCCAGAGCTGCCGGACGGATTGCCACAAACTCGGGGGCTTGAAACAGCAGAAACGTGTTCTCTCACAGTTCCGGAAGCTGAAGCCTGAAACCAAGGTGTCCCAGCGCCCCGCTCCCTCTGAAGCCTTTGGGGGTCCTTCTCGCATCTCCCAGCTTCTGGGGGCCGCCGCTGTTGCCTCATCTTCACGCGGCGTCTCCTTGGGGTGTCTTTCTCCTACAAGGCCATGGGCCCCTGGGCCTCGGGCCCACCCAGATAAGCCAGGATGACCTCATCTTAAGATCCTTAACTCCCTCACATTTGCAAAGACCCTTTTTCCAAATAAGGCGACATTCACATGTTCCACGCCGACATATCTGTTTGGGGGAGGGGGCACCCTTCCCCCGCCTGCAGGGTTCAACGAGGTTAAACCAGGAGCTCGGTGAAACCCCGGACCCAGTGGTTCTTGAGGAATTGTCACCGTCACCTTGATTTTGCTTGGACCACAGGATATGGTTCAATGTTTTGAATTAGTCGCCTACCCTTAAGATTCAAGATTCACATGAAAATGGGGATTTCTTTAGACAAATCAGAACATTTGGCATCAGGGGGCTGAATGCTTGCAAGGCCACACTGGCCTGAGAAGCTGCTGTCCTTCAAAGGGGCGTGTGCATGGCCACTTCTCCGCTCCCCGATGTCATCTGTCTGGCACCGGGGCCGCAGAGTTCCAGCCTCCTGGAGCATGTCTGTCCCGGCCGCTGTTGCAGCCGAGGCCGGACACAGAAAGCCAGTGAGGGACCCAAGACTGCAGGCCTGGCCCTCCGAGGCTGTGTGATCCTGGGCAGGGCCCTTCCCATCCCTGGACCTCAGGCTCGGCATCTGCGGGACGGAGGAAGGCGTGACGTCATTCCCTGGACCCTTCTCCCTGTGGGGCGTTGGCGTGAGGTCTGAGGCCGACAGTGACTTCCTGTGGCAGACACACTGCTGTCCTCCCGTCCTCAAGCCAGGCTGCACATTAGGATCGCCTGGATAATTGTCCTTGTAAATACCTGTGACCAAGCCCCAAGCCACTGAAGGGGGTCACCCTTTGCTTCTAGAGCAGACTGTCGTCACGGCCTTCGAGGCCTGTATTCCTCCCAAGACCCCTCTCTCCTTCATTCTTCTTTCCCTCCCCCCGCCCTCCCCGCTGGGTGCCATTCTGATACAGAAATGGTCTCTCTTTTTGGTCTTGCACAATGAGGACCGTTTTACATCCATCATTTGTCATTTACACCCCTGGGCTGGTATTATCGATGTTCATTTTCCTTTTCCATGGATCACTGGTCTCCCCTGTTTTCCACTCGCTCCCCCTGGGGTGGACCCCCCAGGCCACCTCCAGCCCCCCCGAGAGCAGACATCCGGCTGTACGCTCCCTCGTGGCCCTGGGTGAGAATTTCTTTGGGAAGTCACCCAGCAGCAGAATTATTGTGTACAGTACTTCATTTGACTAAGCCAGACTCGATATGTTTTTACCAGAGTCCTGGTGTCAAAATGACAGCTCACTGCCGGAATTTGCCTTTCTCTTATAACTGTGTGCCTGTGCACACTCTCCTCCGCCTTTTGGATTTTTTTCTTCTGTAAGTTGCCTGTTCACGTCCTTCACCCATTTCTCTGTAAGGGCTGCTCTTTTTCCCGTTGAAAAGCATCCCATCAGTGTTAGACTCTGCAAATATTTCCTCCCATGCTGAAACATGGCCATGCCATTTGCCCATGATGTCATTCCTCGAACAAAAATTTTTAATTGTGATAGAATCCAATTTATTTTTCCTTTATAATTTGTTCCTTTGGAGTTTTAAAAAGTCCTTCTCTCGCACTGATAACCTGTCAGTTTAGATTCATAGAAACCCACGTCAAACTTAAAAAACAAAAAGCCCTTCTCTGCCCCTGGGTCATCCAGTATTTTCCTCTATCAGGTTCACGGTTTATCTGTCACAGTGAGGTTTATTCCGTCTAGAGAAACAGTGTCCAACAGAACGAAGAAAATGGAAGGTTTCATACTTAATCAGTAGCCGCTGGCCAAAAGTGACAGCTGAGTATGTGAAACGTGGCCCGTGCAACCGAGGGACTGAACGCTTAATTTTATTTCCTTTTCATTTAAAATCAAGCAGCCACATGTGGCTAGTGGCTACTGCCCAAGGTAGCCGAGGTCTAGGGCTGCCTTTTCTTGTGCTATTTGGTAGGGATTGAGTTTTCTTTTTCCCCACAAAACGAACCCATTTCTCCAACACTGTCATTAAACACCCTGTTTTCCCCCACTGATGTGTGGGGCCACCCTTATCAAACATTAAGCTCCTGCATACACTTGGGTCCGTGGGGAGAAGCCCGGAGGATCTCATGAACAGCAGGAGGGGAGCGCCACTCATGATTCGATGCTCAAAGAATTTCTAGTGGACACACAGCCGCCCGGAACGAAGACCGCATTTCCAGCCTCCCCTGCGCCGGGTGCAGCCGCGTGACTAAGCTCCGGCCAGTGAGGCAGTGGTGCAACCTCTGGTCGCGTCCTTAAAGGGACGTCCCGTCCTCCCCTGAGGGAGGCACTGGTCCCAGAGTGGAGGAGCTGCAAGATGGAAGGAGGCCGGGACGCCGCGGACCGCACGGGGCTGAGGCCCACGCTTCTGGGCCTTTCACACGAGAGAGCGACCGTAGAGCTCATGGTTCCCAAACTCAAGCAGCATCAGAATCCCTGGGAGGGCGTGCTGCAATACAGATCGCCGGGCCCCACCCAGAGCCTCTGATTCAGCCTGGGGTGGTGCCTGGGAATCTGCATTTCCAGCCAGTGCTCGGGCACCGTGCTTGACGAACCACTGGTCTGACTTGTTTCAGTCGCTCCTGTTGGGTGTCTGTAAACATGCCTCTGACCTACAGCCTGAGGCCTCCCTCCTGGCCTCTGGGTGCCCCCCGCCCTGCCCCCTCCCTGCCTCCAGCCCCGTGGGTGGCGGCTTCCTGCCTCTACTGACTACTGGCTGGTTCCTGCCTCTGGCTCCTCCAGCGTTCCCAGCGCCTGTGTACCCCCATCCCAGATCACGCGCCCCATTTGTAACACTCAGAGGGTTTGACAGGCGCTGTGGGAGTCCCTTCTGCAAGGGTGCCAGCGGGAGGGAAGTAGGGGTCTCCAGGAGCTCCCCCTAAGCCAACCACAACCATTTCAACGCAGTGATGGTGAGTGAAGGCAACATTAACAGCAGCGCCGCCGCGGAGACAGACAGAGCCACCTGCCCGACAGTGTGACATCATGTGATCGGGCAAGCGTCGTGCTGTGTTTGAGCGGCTTCTTCTCCTGGAGGGTGGCGCCTCCTGGAGCTGCCCCAGGACCCTGGCTCCGCACCGCAAGGGCCCGCCGGGGGCTCCATAGCTCTGTTCTCGCCTCCCACATGGGTTCTGGAAGCGCGGGCGCACCAGCCTCCTCAGGGCCGGGCAGCCGCCCTCTTGCTCTGTTTTCTGGAACAAGCTGTACAAGGTAGGAATTACCTGAGGCTTCAGTCTAGAACTCACTCGTTAGCAGTCAAGCTTGAAGCTTTTTTCCCCTTTTTCATACACGTGTGTGGGGAGCTGTTATTTTGGTCTTTTCTTATTTTCTATTTCTCCTTATTCCAATTTTGGCATATTTTTCCCCAGAGATGTACCCGCTTCACCCAGGCCTCAAACATTCATATGCAGTCACGTGCACTGCACGACATTCCGGTCTACGACGGTGGTCCCGCAGAGCCAGGTGTGAGGTTGGCCGTGCCACGTAGGTTTGTGCGAGCATGCGCCCTGGCGTTCGCGCAACGACGAAACCACCTAGTGACACGGTTCTCAGCGCGCATGCCCGTCGTTAAGCGGTGCGACGCACAGCAGCAGTAGGCGGCGCTGTTACGTCCGCATCTCTGTGGTTCTCTCTAGATCCCGCATCTTCTTGGCCCTAGAAGCAGAAGGCCAGTTCTTGGGGGAGCTCAGGGCCCGTGGAGAGGGGTGCTGTTGGGCGGGACAGTGTGGGGGTGACGTGCAGAGTGGGGGACGTGGGCTAAGGCAGACGTCCCGCCTGCAACACACGCTTCCCGCCCACGGAGCAGGCGGAGGGCCCTGGTGCCAGTGACACTCGGAGGGCTCGAGGGGGGCTGCACTCCTTGCCCTCCCACCTGCCCCCGAGGCTGCTGTGGCCCCCGACCCCTTTCAGGCGCTGGGGAAGACGCGCCACACTGGCCTGGGCGGTCAGGGCCGAGAAGGCAGAAGCAGTGCTATCACCCCGATGTCCACCAGATTCCTCGTGGGGGGCCAGGCTCAGCCCCCCAGGCCTTGGCCTGGAGGGAAGGACTCGGCCAATGGCAGCTCCAGGTCCATCGGCCTCAGCCGGCCTCCTGAAAGCCCACCTGCCCGCTGACCAGTTTGCCGAATGGCCAGTTTACTAACATCATCTCACCAATGGTCAGTTCCTACCCACTGAAAATGCTCAAGACAAATATCCTTTAAAGCGTGTTTCCAGCAAACTGCAGATTTGGCAAACTGGTCCCCACGGCACACGGACTCTGGTGCACCGGCCCCGTCCTGGCCTTGGGGTGCGTCAGTTGTGTCCGGATGGGGTGGGGAGCATCCTTGCCTGCTTTCACCTGGAGCTCCCCATCGCCCACAGACGCGGCCCTTGCCGGAAGCTGGGCTGGGATCCTGGGGGGCCAGGCTCCCCCACCCCAGACCCCTTCCCCGAGCCTCACCCCGAGACGGCCTGGACACGGAGGGCCTCCACACACACCACACGAAACAAGAAAATGTTTTAATTGTAAAACTAACTTGAGGGCGGGGAGGCGGGGCTGCACCGGGGTGGGAGGGGGGGTGCAGGAACCTGATTCTTCGAGCAGTGGTTTGGTCCCGGTGCCACCCCGCAGGACAGGGACCATCTGTCCCCAGGTGGGGGCGGGGGCTAGTGTTATAAAATGACAATATAAATAGACTTCTAGAAAAGAGGCTGTCCAGGTGCAGTAGTCGTTTTCCGCGGAGGCTGGGGTGGGCGGGAAGCCCCAACTCCTGCCTCCCCAGCCAGCCGCAGGGGGGGATGCGGGGGGGAGAAGGCCACACTTCAGACATTCATGATCGACCCCCGCACCGGCTCAGGGGGAGGGGCTGTATGTCAGGCAAGGTCTCAGAGAGGCCCACGCAGGCCGCAGGACAGAGGAGCTGGGCCTTCCACACATGGGCACGCGCGCACGCACACACACACACACACACACACAGCGTGCAGGCACACACACCTCTTTCATAGTGTTCTCTGCACCCCCAGCGGCTCCCACTGCAGACTTCCAGTGATGGGAGGGCCGCCCAGCCTTCCTGGGGACAGGAAACAGGGAGGGCCTGTCCCCAGGGTGGGGGGTCCTGGGAGCCTCACTGCTCCCACGAGTCCCTGTGTTTTTTGAAAGGTCACAAAATCCAAACTGGAGTTCAGTAGTAGGGTCTGGCACATCCCCCTGGCAGGAGGGCGGCGCATGGAGTGTCTCCCAGGCTGGAGGACGGTGCCCCCACTGGCCTCCGGCGGGGCAGGGGCCCGCAGGGGCTCTTTGGTTCAGGCCGGGGCGCCGGCCTCATCTGGTGCGGTTCTGGCGCATGAGTGGCACGATGCTGGCGGGCGGGCCCGCTTTGGCCAGGAACGGGTGCTTCAGCAGCTCGGCTGCCGTGGCCCGCTGCGCGGGGTCGCGCACCAGCAGGCGGTCCAGGAAGCCCTTCAGAGATGGCGACACCTGTGGAGGTGGCGGGGACAGGGTCAGAGGAGAGGTCCCGGCTCTGGCGTGAGTGCCAGCTCCTCTGCTCACTCGCCGTGGGCCCCCTTTCTTCCTCTGTCAAACAGGCTGACGTCACCGAAGGCCCAGGGACGAGCAAAGAGGTCCCAGGCGGCTAAAGCTTGGGCCCAAGGGCTCAGTGCCACCCCAGTTTCCAGGTCTGGCAAGGAGCCGGCGGCAGCTGGGCCTAGAGGCACCCCCTTCTCACCCGGTGATTCCGCCCCAGGAAGGCTGTCCCCGGGCCCTGGCCGTGCGCCCAGCAGGCCAGCCCAAGCAAAGCTCCGCAGGATGATGAACACACAGTGGGTCTGCGCTTGCACAGACACTTGAGGCCGGGGGTGGGGGAGAGGGGGGATGACATACACACACGGACCCAGTGCACAGGAAGCACCAGCCCAGGGCCACCAGCAGCCCAGCTACTCTGCCAGGTGGGAGGCTGCCCGGTGCCCAGCCCCCGCCTGCTGGTGCACTGTCCCCCTCACACCTGCCCAAGGGGCCCACCTTGTGCAGGTTCTTCAGTCGGGGCGGCAGGTTGTCCCGAATCATCTTCATGGCTTTGAGGGGTGGCTCGTTGAAGTAGGGGGGCTCCCCGTCCACCATCTCAATCACCATCACCCCCAGAGACCAGATGTCCACCTGCAGTGGGGACAGGGGCAGGCCAGTGATGGGGGAGCCCACAGAGGGACAGCCCCCAGTTTGGCCTTCGCCTCCTAGCTCCCGGAGTTCCTGGGGCAAGAACGCTCTCTCGGATGCCAGCCCATTAGCCCCATGCCCTCCTCGCCCAGGGAGCCTGCGGAAGGGCCTGCCCACCCAGCTTCCAGCCCCTTCTGCGAACCACCCCTGGCTTCCCCTGAGGGACCCCCTCCCTCACTGTCTGTCCACGGTGCATCTGCTGGGTCCGTGACCAGGTCCCCATCAGCAGAGTCAGGATGCAGTCATTGGCTCAGGAGCAGCCACATGACTCAAGCAAAGCCAATCACAGTCGACCCTGGGACCTTAACCAAAATATCTAGGAAAACGGTGGCACTCAAGGACAGGGAGACATGTCCCAGAGTGGCCGGGCCATCTCTGCTCCCACGAGGGGAGGGCCTGGCTGAGCGAAGATTGCTGAGAAAACCAGAGCTGGGAGGGACAGAGTGCACAGCCAGCTAGCCAGCCTGAAGCCTGTCACCCCCAAACGTCATGGTTCTAGGGACCCAGAGCTTTCACATTTTGAGAAGTTTGTTTAAGCTGGTTTTGTCGCTTACAGGCCTCCTGATGGAGACATCCCCCCAGAATCACACCAGCCTCCTCTCCCAGAGTGACCCACTCCAGCCTGAGGTCCTACAATACGGTTCCCAGGATGCCTTTCTCATGGCCAGTCACTGGGTCAAGTCTTGTTGAGTGACTGTGAAGAAATCCTTGGGGCCACAGGCCACAGCTCAGAGGTCTCAGGGCCAGGCAGGTCGTGGCAGTGACTGAAGCAGGTTGGTGCAGGTAATAGGGAGGAGTGAGGAGTGTGGCCAAGACGAAGGTGCCCCTGCCCTTTCTAAAGCAGGGTGGCCCCTCGGTGCTTGTTGGTTGCTCACGTGTGGGAATCTGGCCTCCACGGTGCCGGATCTCTTGGTTTCCCGACAGAAAATGGAAATTCAGACTTTTATGTGAGGGCTCTCTTTTGAGAATGCTTCCAAGAGCATCTTCAGACCACACCAGCCAGGAGCCTGCCAGCCTGTGGCCCCCGTACCAGGCTGTCAGGCAGGGCCGTGGCCACTGCTGTTCAGCATTCGGTTCCCGTGGCCAAGCACTGGGCCTGGCTCTGAACTAGTCCCCCATCAGGAATGCACGCGTGCACGCATGCCTGCCTCTCCCACAAAACCGTCCCCAGCGACCCATTCCTAGACTGCGCCCGCCTCGTCCCCAGCACTCAGCTGTTCTGGACTGTCGCCGCGTAAACCGGTGCTGACAGCGTGGCAACTGGGCCGCCGTTGGCTCACCTCTGGCCCGTAGGGAAGGCGGGAGATGAGCTCCGGGGCCATCCAGTAGGGCGTGCCGACCAGTGACTTTCTCCGTGGCACCTCCTTGCTCACCTGGGCACAGAACCCGAAGTCTGACAGCTTCACCTGGAGCAGGGCAGGCCGTGGGGTCAGAGGTGCTGGCGGGGAAGGTGAGCAGAGGTGGCCACTTATGCAAGCCCCTGGCTGCGGACCGCTGCGTCTCCACCGTGCAGCCCAGAGGTCAGAGCCAGACCCCTGGGCAGCTCTGCCGTCTCCCGGCAGGGGACCCTCGGGTGTGTCACCTCCTCAATCACTCCAGCTGCCTTCCTCCGCACTGGGCTCAGGGGCAGTGGCCTGCGTCCCACAGGTCCCAAAGGCTGGGCAGGGGCTGAGACCAGGCGGGCTCCCAAAGTCCACATCCACAGTTGACACGAATGAGAGGGACGTGGCCCGGCCCGAGGGGTGGATGGGACGCAGCCTGGCAGAGGCGCGGAGGGGACACAGCCTGCCTGAGGGGTGGAGGGGACGCAGCCTGCCTCTGCAACAGCCATGTCCACAGAACCAAGGGTTTCCAGAGTTTCTGGAACCGTGGGCCCCTTTCAGACTCTTGAGGTATCTATGGATCTTCCTGCTCCCAGGAAGCATCCCACATGGTGTGCAGACAAGGCTCACAGATGGCCCCCAAACATATCTGAGGACATCTCCAGGTGCTCAGGGACCCCGGCTGAGATTCCCAATGTGACAGAGCCCCACCCTGCTGACCGGCTTAGCCAGCCTGGGGCATGGCAGGCAAACCACCACCAAGAATTAGTGAAAGGCACGGCTCCCCCCACTGAAAATCAGGGCCACTCTTGGAACATAAATGCAGGTTCCGGGCACGGGGAGCCCCATCCACGGACCTCAGATTCAGAACTTCAGTCCAGAAGATGGGAGACAGGACTGAGGTCCACAGCCCACCCTGGGTGCTCAGCTAGAACAGGTTCTCAGTGGAGGGAGACGCATGTGGCCCAGAGCTGTGGCCGGCCGCCCCCTCTGGGCCCAGGGCTAGACTCCAGCTCCCAGCGTGTGGTGCTGAGGGCAGAGCCCCGGCCAGCCCGAGCCCCTAATGATCACAGGACAGAGACCCCGCCGACCTGGCCCCTGGCCCGGGGCTGCTGCCTGAGGGCGGTAACCTCACTGCTCCTCAAGGTGCTGGACTGTGGTTACGGCCCACCTGACAGCGGAGGGGAGCCCGACCCAGCCCGCTCCTCACCCGGCCGTCGTGGGTCAGCAGAATGGAGTCGCTCTTGATGTCCCGGTGGATGACGCCCTGGGCGTGGAGCACAGACAAGGCCTGCAGCACGGCCAGGCACACGGCGGCGATCTGCTCCTCGTTCATCCTGCAGGGGTGGGGGTGAGGAACTGGGGCAGTCAGGGCCCCGCCCCGGGGTCTGAGGGGAGCACAACACTGCCGCGGTGACGTGAGGGGACAAGGCCCTGCCCTGGGGACCCGAGAGGACAAGGCCCTGCCCTGGGGACCCGAGAGGACAAGGCCCTGCTGGCTCTGAGACATGGCCCCACCCCAAGGGGCCTGGAGGGGATGAGCCTTGTCATGGGAGAGCGGACCAGGTACCCCCTGGGGAGACAGCAGGCCGGGTGCCCGCCGCAGTCCCACTGCCCGGTAGTACCTGGTGTGGGTGACGATGTCGGTGAGGGCGCCTCCCTCCAGGAACTCCATCACCACCCAGAGCTCGTCGCCCACCAGGTAGCTGTTGTACATCTCCACCACGTTCTCGTGCTGGTAGTCCCGCATGATCACCACCTGCGCGCGGGGGCCAGGTCAACGCGCTGGAGGGGGCCGCCAGCTGCACCCTGCCACCCCCTCGGGCCCGGGCTCAGGCCCCGCCACACTGCAGGCCCGGTTCCCCCTGGCACCCCTGCTCCTCGGGGTCACCCTGGACTGCCCTCCCCATTGCCAAAGCCCACAGACCTCAGAGGCAACCTGAGGCCTGAGGCTGGCATGCTGGGTGCCCCCACCCCTGTGCACACATCTCTCATCCTGACTTCTGACCAGTCCTGAGCTGAGTGCGCAGCCCTGACAGCCAGGCTGGTGCTGGGACGGGGTAGGAGGAGGGCGTGTAAGCACAAGGCTAGGATCAGAAGGACAAGCAGGCATCCGCTGGGGTTAGAACCCAGGGGGCCCAGCAAGGCCCAGCCCGGAGGAGGTGGGGACCACGAGGCTCTGACACCTGGGGCCACGTTAACCAGAAGCTCATGGCACCACTGGAGCACTGTCATCTGGGGACGGGGACAGCTTATGGGGCACAGCCGAGGAGTGCCAAGAGATGGGGAGCTCAGACAAGTCCAGGCTGGGTCCTCTGGGACTCCAGCATCAGAGTCTGGGGCTGCTCCTGACACCAGGCGCTCTGGGGAGGAGCCAGAGGCTGCCTCTGTACCAGGGCCCCCCAGAGAGGCCACCAAGCGCCAAGCCCGAGGCAGGACAGGACAAGGGGCCTGGATGGGGCCCTATCTCCACTGCCCGGCACAGGGCCCAGGCCTTTATCCTGAGGGCACCAGGGGGCACCCCAGGGTCAATGAGGGGGCAGGGCAGGCCTGCGTGTGGGGAATGGGGGGCGCCCAGGAGGGGAGGCGAGGGTGGGGCTGCTCGGGGCTGGCAGGCTGGGGCCTCTCTGAGAAGGGACCAGACGGAGCAGGTTTAGGGGGACAGTTCGGGACTTGATGGCTGTGTGAGGGGCCCGGGCCGGACAGAGACCATGGGAGCTGTCGTTATGGAAGAGACAGCCCGGGGAGGGCGAGGAGCGAGAGAAAGGATGGGCCGGCACCCAGCCCCACCCCACCAGGCGCCCTGGCGGGAATTCGGGGAGGAGGGCGAGGTGGAGACGGGGGCACGAGGCCCACCTCATTGAAGAGCAGCTCGCGCCTCTGCTGCTTGCGCAGGTCCATCTTCTTGACGGCCACCAGCCGGCCCGAGCTGCGCACGGTAGCAATGCACACGATGCCCGTGGAGCCCTCGCCGATCTTGATGAAGTTGTCCAGGTAGGAGCGAGGGTCCCCAGGGTCCACCACCAGCTGCAGGGCAGCCCGGAACTGCTCGTGGGATACTCGCTGGGGTTCCCGCTGAGGCGAGCGGGGGCCGGGGGGGCCGGGGGCGGCGGCAGGGGCCGCGAGGGTGCGGGCCGCGGGGGCCAGCTGGGGCTCGGAGGCGTGGGGGCCCAGCACCCCAGGGCTGGGGGGGCCGCGGGCTCGGGCGGGAGGCCGGGAAGAGGACTGGGGGACAGCCAGGCTCCCCGCTGAGGGCCCATTGGGGGCCAGGTTGTGAGGGTCCCCCTGAAACAGAAAAGAGAGGCGGCTGTCAGCAGAGGGGCCGGGGGCCAGCTTTGCTCCCAGAGCAAGACAGGGGCCCCGGCTGAGGGACAGACACATGGTGGTCAGGATGGAGACAGACAGTGGGCTGGGCACGGGTTGGAGCTGGAAGGTGGGCCACCCTGGGAAAGCTCTGGGCCCGGGGACGATGGGGGCTCCTGGGGCAGGGGGATGGGTTACCTGGGTGCCCCGGGATGGGTGGTCCGTGTCAGCCCTCGGGTACGTGTTAAAGGGCCGGCCAGCTGCCACTTTCGCCCCACTGGCCAGACCGGCAGGCTGGGGGGCGCTGACGTCGGGCCCGGAGAGGGGGCGTTTGTCCCGGGAAGACTCCTGGGGCGCCCCTGAGCCCTCCCTGGAAGACTTGGGCCTCTTCTCCGGCCCCGCCCGCCGCCTGTCGCCACTGCCGCCACCCCCCTCGCTGCGCCCAGCCACCCGGCCGTGGCCCGCTCTCTCCGGGCCCCCTCCGGCTGTGGTGGCCTGCTCCACGGGCATCCCGTTCTGCTGGCGGGCCCGGGTGGGCGGCGGCGGGCTGTCTCTCCGCAGGGAGTTGGAGCGGGTCACCGACATGTTCTCGAACTCATCAAGCAGCAGGGTGAGGGCCCCATCCTTGGCGCCTTTGCTGCCCCGCACGATGGTCTGGGGTCCGGGGCAATGGCAGGGCGGGGGCCGGGCAAGGAGGGGGACACAGGACGTGGATCCAACACACAAGGACAGGACAACACAGCACACACAGAGACAAGACAGAGACGGAATGAAGAAATGCCATGGGGTGATGATGGGGGCGGGAGGCGGCACCAGGGGGCCCCTGCAGCCCCTCCCCCAGCACCCAGACGTCCATCGAAGGAGAGGAGCTGAAGGAGATCCCTCCTGTCAGTCAGGCTGTCACCCCCCCGGGCTGGTTGCCCCCCTGAGGAGCACCTCCCTGGCTCTCTCCTGCTCTCCAGGCTGGGGGAGGTCCCTGCCCTGTGGGGTGGAGGGGGAGGAAGGCAGAGGCCACGCCACCCCATAATCAGCCCCGGAGAACCGCAAATTACAGGATGCTGGGGCCAGGGCACAGCTTGGCACACGCCCTCTGCAGCCTGCCAGGGTTGTTAACCCCCAGACCACTCTCTGTTCCCCCAGAGGCCAAGGGCAGGGTCCAGGGAGAGTCAGACAGGACTGGCCCCAAAGGAGAGGGCAGGAGGGCCCAGGAGCGGGGACGGCCAATGCAAATGCCCGCATAAAGTGTCCCAAATCCACTCAGTCCTCATCCACCATGGCCACCACCCTGACCCAGGTCATGGCCATCTCTTCCCTCAAGAACTGTAGTCACAGCCTCCAGGGTGCCCCCTGTCCCCTACTCAGCTCCAGGCACACAGGCCTCCTCGCTGCTCCTCAAACACCAGGCATGCTCTCACGTCAGGGCCTTTGCACGGGCTGTTTGCTCTGCCTGGAACACCTCCCCCCAAGTGTGCCCACGGCTCCTCCCTTTCCTCCTTCAGGTCTCTGCTGGAAACAGCTTCTCGGAAGAGGCCTCTGCGGACCAACGCCGTCTAAGATGCCGCCCCGACATGCCTACCCTCTCCCTGCTTTCTTTTTCTTAGAGCTCTTAAAAGCGGCTGACACAAAGCCTGCGTGCAGCCATCCACCGCCCGCTCCCCGTGGATGTTCGCGGGGGCAGCCATTCCTTCTCCCTGTCCGCTTCTGCTCTGCTAGAATCTCAGCACCTAGAGCAGTGTCTGGTACGCAGAAGGGGCTCAATAAAAACATGCGCTGAACCAGGGAGCGAGTGAGGCGGGCTGGGCAGAGGCTGCAGGAGCCAAGGAGGCGCCCCGTCCCCATCCCTCTGCTATCCATCGCAGGCACGCAGGGGCCCGGGCCCCGGCCGCCGCACATCCTGAAGTCAGAAGTGTCTTGAATGTGCAGAAAACTGGATCCTGCAAAACCCGGCTATAGACCGCAGTGCCCAGGGGCTGCCCTGGCCCTGCCTCTCTGGGGCCTCGGCTGCCAGCCTGGAGCCCGGCCCTGCCCAGACACCCAGTGAAGAAGGGAGGCCCCGGTCCGACGCTGGTGCTGAAGAAGAGGTCGAGGAGTCCCCAAGGGGTGGGGGACAGCCTGGGAGGACTGGGCAGATTCCCAGCCAAGGGCAGCCTGGGGCCCCAGGACAGCGCTAGCCTGTGGGGCACCTTTGTGTGAATTAAGACAAGGTGGCCCTGGCCAGCCCTGTGGTCCAGTGGTTAAGTTCAGCACGCTCCACTTCGGTGGCCTGGGTTCAGTTCCCGGGCCGGGACCTACACCACTCGTAGGTGGCCGTGCTGTGGCGGGTCATGTACAAAATAGAGGGAGACTGGCACAGGTGTTAGCTTAGGGCGAATCTTCCTCAGCAAAAAAAAAGACAAGGTGGCCCCTCCCCCTGGTGGACACAGCCCCAGTGAGGGCTCACAGCTGCGAGGCCGAGTGGGGGCTAGATTTTAAGAGGAGCCCCAGTGAGGGCACAGCCAGCACAAGGCAGCCACGGGGCCAGGCAGCGCATGGAGCTGAGGTGGGCCGGGTGGGGCCTGCGGGCAGGAGAGCCAGGGCCCTGCTGGCAAGGCTGCTGCCACTCGGCTCCAGCCCATTCGTCAGGAGAAGCCAGAAAGACCTGGATGTGAAGTCTTGCTTTTTAAGTGGTGGCAAAGAATGGGAAAGAATTCAAACACTCAGAAGCACGGTGCGTGGACACTGCAGCACCCCAGCGGCTGCCAGACTGAGAGCCTGGGGGCAGAGCATCTACACTCGCTGACCCTGGGCCTCCTGCCGCCAGGCCCGGGCTGGGAAAGGATGAGTCAGCCGTGGGCCTGCCCCCGGGCACTGAGCCCACGGCCGCACAGCTGTCCCCACCCCTCGGAACAACCCTGGCCAGCTCCCCTGGCCCACGGCCCTTCCGGGTTCCCGCTGCCCTTGGGATAAAGTCCCGGCTCCGGGCTGGCTTCCCAGGCCGGGCGTGGCCTCAGCCCTGCCACCAGGCCAGCCTCCCCGCAGGCCCGAGTGCTTGGACCATGGGGCTGGGAGAGGGGGTGAGAGCAGCGGCCTTGGAAAAAGACCTCGAGGCAAATCTCAGCTCTGCCCTTTTGCTCAAGATGGCAGGAAAAAACAACCCCAAACCCCAAAACCCCCAGCGCTTCGACAGGCTATTTCCTCCACTAAAAGCCCTGCCCGCCCCCATCTGCCTCCTCTTCCTCCTCCTCCTCGGCCCTCGGGGCTCAGTGGCTCCCAAGGCTGGGTCAGGCGCCCCTCTGGACTCCCCTGGCCCAGCCTGCCCACTTGGGGCGGTCACCACCTAGGAATGGGGCTGCCCCTCTCCCTGCAACAGGAGCTCTGTGAGGCCCGAGGACAAGTCTGTGGCACTGGGGACAGGAACACAGAGCTCAGGGGGTGAGGCTACAGGAGAGGCGCTCAACTCTGAGGCTGTGGGGGCTGTGGGAGGGGCTGAGGGAAGTGTGGGCTCCTCGGGCCCGGGGGTCAGCGTCGAGGCCAGGGGAGAGGGTCCGTGTGCTGGGGGATGGAAGGCAAGTGCCAGGGGCGAGGGTTAGGGTGCAGGGTTGGGCGTGTCTGTCTGGAAGTCAGGGTCAAGTGTAGGGTGAAGGGCTGGGGCCCCTGGTGGGGGTGGGTGTGTCTGTCTGGAGGTCGGGGTCAAGTGTGCGGTGAAGTGCTGGGGCCTCTGCCGGGGTGGGCACTGCCATACCTTGGGGGCCCCGGGCTGGATGGAGGTGATGCAGCCAGGGTCGACGAGGGGCTTGGGCCGGCGGGCCGACTCCTCGATGAGGCTCTGCCACTGGCGGGGCAGCCCCGTGAACTTCTGCTCGTGCTGGTCGAAGCCCGTGTGCACGCGGTGCTCGAAGTTGGACGGCGCCGAGATCTCCACCCGCTTCTTCTTCTTCCCAAACATGGCTCCGAGGCTCGGGGCACCCGAGGGCGCAGACTCGGTTCCTCCGGCAGGCCTGCGGGAGGTGCCGCTCACCGATCTGCCCATCGCTCCCGCTCCTCTGGCCCTGCCCTGGTTGGGTCCGAGCTCCTCTCCTCCCCGCTCTCCCTGCCCCCACCCCTCCAGTCTGTCCCCCATGTGCAGCCCGAGGGACCCTGTGAACACCTGAGTAGGTCACACCGTCCCCTGCTCAGAGCCCTCCTGTGGTTCCATCTCACTGGGGGAAAAGCCAAGCCTTCCCCGTGCCACCCCACATGACCTGCCGCCATCATCTCTTTGCTCCATCTCCCCTCGCTCACACTGCCTTTCAAACCTCAGGGTCTTTGCACTGGCTGTTTCCTCTGTGAGGAACACTTCCCTAGTATCCACACATGCTCCCTCCTTCCCTCCTGTAGGTCTCAGAGTCGTGGTGAATCCTTTCCTGACCACCCCACGGAAAAGGGCCCCCACGTCCCACTGTCCTTCCATCACATCACTTCACGGCATGCTTACTTCTGGAAATTCTGCCGCTCGTGCTCATGTTCACTAGCTCAGCACCTGCACCCCCATCACTGGAAAGAGCGCGGGGCAGGTCGCGTCCGCCCAGTTCCCCCTCTCCCACGGCCTGCCCAGCACAGTGCCTGGCACCCCGTGTGTGCTCAGGGATGGAAGGCCGGGCCACAGTCAGCACCGCCTGCCCAGCCTGGACACTGGGCTAGGAGCATCAGATCCGCTCGGCCACCTGCGCAGCCAACGGTCACTGAGCCCCTGGCCTACGCATGGCCCAGGCGGCCTCACGGCGACAGTCCACTTTACACGCAGAGGCTGAGGCCAGAGCGGGACGTTCCTCACCAAGCTCCCCCAGGGCGGAAGGACCCGCTTCAGAACAGGCACTCACAGAGCACAGTCCGCGTGTCTGGGGTCTGTAGCCTCCAGTCGGGCACTCCGAACAGCGCCAGGCACAGCGCACGTGCTCAACGACACCAGGTCCAAAAACCAAGGGGGCCGGAGGGGGGACACGAGGGCGGTGGTGACCCCAGGGAGCCCAGAGTAGGGATGGGAGGGGAGCCAGAGGGCCAGAGCGCAAATCTCTCTCTGCCACTTATCACGTGTGACTTTGGGGAAGTGACTTAACCTCCGTGTGCCTTGGATCAACCATTTGCCATTCTGACGATTGGGATTACCGCAAGCAGGGTCTGAGTGGGAGGGCCCAGGTCCTGTCCCCTGTCCCACACACAGGCCCTGGAGTCCCACACACCTGATTTGATGCTGGCTGTGCTAGAAATGCCCTTGGGCAGGTGACGTCTCCTCTTGGGGCTTCGGGTTACTCATCTGCAAAATGGGAAGAAAATGTCATTTGCCAAGTTGTTCATTCATTTGTTCGTTTGCTCGTTCATTCATTCATTGATTCAGTAATAACTCACCCTTTGGTGCCCAGCCCTGTGCTAGCTGATGCTGGGGACACAGCCGTGACCCAGGCAGCCTCTGTCAGCCCAGAGTGGTCAAGGCTGGGGTCAGGGAGGGCAGACCCAGCCTGGGGGGATGGCAGAGAGGGGACAAGGCAAGGCTTCCCAGAAGAGGGGCCGTGTGAGCTGAGGCCCAAAGGACCAGGGGAGATGCACCGGTGGGGGTTCTGTCTGCTTCATGGCTGGCTCCCCAGCACCCGGCACAGGGGTGGCCCGAGCTCACTAAGTCTGTGACCTCGTGAGGACACTCACAGGCATGTCCGCAACATGGCCTCCTGCCTCTCCAGCCCCTGGTTCTCCTCCCAGCTCCTTCTCTGTGGGAGCGGAGACCAGAGGGAGGACCATCCGCCCAGAGGGAGGATCATGGTGGGCAGTGATCCAGGAGAACCGGTTTGGCGCGGGAACCCAGTGGGAGGTGGGTGGGGACCCAGCAGCCAACCTGTTTCAACTGGTCCAGGCCTCCCAGCCAGCAGGTGGCCAGAGCCAGGTCTGGCCAGGGCTCCTCCAGCGGCCCAGCTTCCCTGTTTGCTCCGGGCTCCCTGCTGCCTGGATGGGGGGGTGGGACAGCCTGGCCAGGACAGGGCCCCTTTCCTCTGCCTCAGCCCCTTCTCTGACCCCAACCAAGCCAGGAGCCCCCTCGATGTCTCTGCCCCACCCCAGCCCCCTGAACACTGTCCATCCCGCCCTCCCAGACTTCGGCGTGGCCCTGACCTACCCTGTTCTCTCTCTTGAGGCTTCTCTGCCCTCAGCCCTGTCTTTCCAGTGCCAGCTCCCAGCCTTGTCCCTGCCCCCGACCCTCCCCCCACTTCCCTGATGCCCACCCCAGATCTTCACCCCTGTCCTATCACCTTCACTGGCTCCCGGACGTGCCCCCGTCCAGCCCCAGGCCCAGCCTCTCTCCCTCTCTGCCCTGCCCAGCCTCCACCCCAGCCGGCAGCCTGGGGGCACCGAGTCAGCTGGCCTCTGCAGGCTGGGATTAGCCATGTGACCCTTCTGTAAAGCCAGCAGAGGGAGGGGCAGACCCCAGGGAGGAGGCACTCAGGATCAAGATGGGGAAGGCAGGGGCGCCTGGAAGATAGGACAGCCCATAATCCCCCAAGGACCTCTGCACCCTGAAGCCAGCCCCCAGGCCCAGGCACGTGGGACCCTGCAGAGGAAGGGGGTGGGGAGCACACCTCCGGATATCTGCCTGGGGCCACCCCTTCCCTCTGGGCGCACCACACAGAGGGCAGGACAAACAGAGGAACTGACCATGTTTATAATGACCAGGCGGGAGCCCCACCCTGGCAGCTCCCGGCACTGCCGGCTCCCCCACCGGGCCTTCCCTTCCCACCCAGCCCGGACCCCAGGGACCCCCAAAAGGGGAGGGACAGAGCTGCTCCATGAAGGGAGGGGCCTGCCCCAGAGCCGGGGGTGGGTTCCCAGGCAAGCTCTGCAACTCAGGACTCAGCGGGCCTGGGCCCCAAACCCTGGCCCTGCTGTGCCGCCCTGTGCCACCTTGTTTCCTGCACCCGTGAAGTGGAGCGAGCCAGCCCGCCTTAGGAGTTTGCTGCGTGGCGGGGGACCAGCAGCTAGCCGCCCTGTGCCTCAGTTCCCTCCTGTTCAGCGGGCGATGACAGCCCCTGAGTCCTAGACTTCTCAGGAGTCACAGAGAGCACAGTACTGGCAGCCAGGCCACGAGGTAACAGCATGCAGCAAGGAGGTGCCCGGTAAGTCCTAAACGCACGAAGCACCTACTGTGTGCTCCTCCCATCCAAGCATCCCCGCAGGGCCCCTAGCTTAATCGGCACACCTGTCCCAGGAGGAAGGGCCGTTATGAGGCTCGTGTTACAGATAAGGAAAACGAGGCATAGAGAGGGCAGTCCGCTCGCCCAGGTCACACAGGTGTGGTAGCAGGGTGGACACGAGACCCCAGGCCTGACTGACCCAGAGCCCGGGCCGACCAGCCCTTGGAATCAACAGCAGCCGCATCCTCAGAGATCCCCGTGGGCGGGCCCTGCTCGGGGCCCTCGGTGTCGAACCCCAGTCCATCCTCACAACTAAGCTGGGAGACAGTACGCTCATCACCCCAATTCACAGATGGGGAGACCGAGGCCCAGACAGGGGAACCCCTTGTCCAGGGCCCCCAGGATTTGAACCTGGGCAGGCGGAGACCAAAGTCCAGCCTCTTCCCTGACTGTCCCGCCCTGGTGCGCTGCGGCGATGCTACTGTTTTCGTCATTATTATTAAGAATCAGCAGCAGCAGCAGCATCTCCAAGGCTGGTCCTGGCCTTGTCCCTTCCTCCTGCCCTCTCCACCCCTGTCCACGCCCTGGTGGTGAGGGTGCCAACCTCCCATCTGACCTGTCCCGGCCCCTCAGGGGTAGCAGGAGGCAGCACAAGGGGAGTGGCAAGCCTGTACAGATGCCAACGCCCGGCTCCCTGAGCCCTGTGACCCCAGCAGAGCCGCTGTTCTCATCCCCATTGTGCAGATGTGGAAACTGAGGCTCAGAGAGGCGACACCTCTCACCAAGGTCACCAAGCAGCACTGGGCCTGGAAGACGGATGGATCCACTCCAGAGTCGACATCCTGGAGCCCCGTGCTGGCCCCCACACCAAGCCAAGGCCAGCCCAAGACTCCTCCCCGGGGCCCCGAGAGGCCGCCCGGGCTGCCCGCCGCCTCTCTGCCCTCCTCCGCTCTGGCACACCCCTCACTCACTCTGCCCCAGTCACATGGGCCTCCTCGCTGTTCTCCAAACCCTCGGCACGTGCCCACCTCAGGGCCTCTGCACCGGCTACCTGCTCTGCTTGGTGGAACTCTCTTCTCACTGATCTGCACGTGGCTCCCTCCTTCTCTCACCCACGTCTGTGCTCAAACGTCCCAGCTCCCGCCCTGTCACCCTCGATGCCGCTTTCCTTGCTTTCTTTTCCCTCACTGCACTTCCCACATACATTGTGTGTTGTCCGCCTCTCCCGCGAGAACGTCAGCTCCACTGGCAGGGCCTGGCCTCCCTCTTGCTCCCCTGTCCCCCAGGGCCCACGACACTGTCGGGCCTGGAGCAGGCCCCAAAGGAACATTTGGTGAGGGAACGGATGCACGTGTACCCGCCACGCTACACCCCTGCTCAGACGCCCAGACTGCCCGGGCAGGATGTGTGAAACTGGCAGAGAAACAGCTGGAACCCTGAGGCGGCGGAGAGCCAGCAACCCCAGGAGAGGGAGCGGAGGAGGGCAGCCCACAGCCACCGGCCCGGGCATGGCCGCCTCGGAAGCCCAGTGTTTGAGCCCAAATGCAGGCACATTGTGTGCCCCGCTCTCAAATGTCCACCTCCGTTCAAGAGCCAGCCTCTGAACCATCGGGCACGTGGGACGGGCAGTCTCCCGCCTGCCCCAGCAGAAGCCTCAAATTCTCCAGGCCCTGCCCCGACCGGCTCCACCCTCTGACCTTTCCGGAGAAGAAAATGGTCCCCCCCGCCCCTCCCCAAGGAAATCAGCCCAGGGGGATGACGAGACCCACCTGTGTGACAAAGCCGTGCGTGTGTGTACGCACATGCATGTGTGTGTGCGTAACTCTTCCTCGCCTGCCCTCGCCAGCTCTCCATCGAGCTGCTCCCCCGAGGTGGACAGTGGAGGGAACTGACTCCGCCAGAACCCGGGGCCGGGCTGGAGCAGAGGACGTGGCTGGCACAGCTGTCCCTTCCCGTCCCCGGAATGAAACCCGAAAGCAGAAAGCAGGAGAGGGGCTGAGAGGTGCTCCCATCCCAGCCCGCACTTGGCTCCCACTCACCCTTCAGCCAGGATCTTTACCTACCAGCTCCAGGAAACCCTGTCCCTGCCTCAGTTTACCCCATACCTCCCTGGGCTGTGTTCTGCCGACGGAGGGAGAGTCCGGCTTGCCTTCCGGCCCAGGGCAGGCTCCTTGTGGCCCACTGGCCGCCCCACATCACCCCCCACCTCCGCCCAGTTCTTGCTGCCCACTGCACGGCCCCCACGCCCCCTCCAAGGCTCCCTGCAGGCCTCCCGCCCTGAGCCACCTTCCTCCAAGGATGCCGCAGGCATGCGGCCCCAGCCCCCCGGCTCTGGGGCTGACACGTGTCCCAGCCCAGCCCCAGCAAACCCCTATCTGCCCACAAAGGACCCATCACACCCAGCCACCCAGCCACCCAGCCAGTCATGGCCGTCCGCTGAGGGCTGATCGCCCCCAGGCCCAGGCCCAGAAGAGCCCCAACAGCCCTGCCTACGGAGCTCACATTCTGGGGGCAAGGGGACAGGAAGTAAATGACACATATCTGAAAATAAGGCAAGTCAGATGGTAGGCTGCGGAGAGAAATATGGCAGAATCAGGAGAGTGGAGGGGGAGTCGGAATTTCCCATGAAGGGGTCAAGGAGGGCCTCATTGAGAGGGGGACACTCGAGCAGGGACCTCAGGGGGTAGGGCACAGGGGCCACACGGGCAACTGGAGGAAGAGCACTCAGGCAGCAGGAACAGCCAGTACAAATGTCCTGAGGCGGGAACACGCTGGATGTGGTCAGAGTGCAGAGCGGAGGCCGACGGTGTGGGGCCTCATGGGCCATGGGGAGGACTCTGGCTTCCACCTGAGTGAGAGAGAGCCATGGGGAGGTTCCGGCAGGTGGGGACGTGGCTTGACTCGGTGTTCACAGCTCCCCCTGGCCAGGCGTGGGGCACAGACTCTGGGGGCAGGACGGGAGCTGGGAGACCAGGGAGGAGGATGTGACGGTCCAGCAGGAGGTGAGGTGGACCGAAGGGAGCACATGGGGCTGCAGAGGCGGGCCCTGGGCACGCTGTAAGGTGCAGAGGGCAGGGCTCGCCATGGCCCGTGCCTCCTCCTGTGCGGGCAGCAGTGGGGTCCCTAGGGCAGGGTGTGGCCTGGTCCCGCCCACCAACCAACCCCCTTGAGCGCCGCCAGGTGCAGGAGGCAGCCTCCCCTGACACGGGAGACCGCCACAAGCGGCTGATCACTGTTGCCGCCAAGTCGGGGGCTTGGCACTGTGGGACCCCCTGTCTTGGTAGGTCACAGCCAGATCCCAGCCCAGAATATGCCCCCCCTTTGTGGTGGCTGAGCACACAGAAGGCACGCGCACGTGTCTCACGCTGCCTCTGCTGGGGCTACGTTGGGCGCACAGACAAGGCCATGCTGAACCCTCCCACCAGTTCCTGGGGAGGGGATGGGCACAGGGTCCTCTTCCTTCTCATCTCCCAAACCAGGAAACCGAGGCCCAGGGAGGAAGTCACTGCCCAGGGCCACCCAGGGCCAGGTCACAAAAGCATCCACTCTGACCCACAGAGAAGGCCCTTTTTTTTATGTGAGGAAGATTGGCCTTGAGATAACATCTGTGCCCATCTTCTATTTTATGTGGGACACTACCATAGCATGGCCTGATGAGCCGTGCTAGGTCCGTACCCAAGATCTGAACCAGCGAACCCCAGGCTTCTGAAGTGGACTATGCGAACTTGACCGCTACTGCAACCGGGCCAGCCCCAAGCCACGAAGAAGGCCTTCTGACACCCCCTCAGCCTCCTCTTCCGAGCAGCCCCAGCCCCAGCCCAGGCCTCCACTCCAGATTACAGACCCTAGAGGTTTACGGGACAAGAACAAGGACAGAGATAATTCCACTGCCAACGACCAGACCCACGATCAGGAAGGTGGCCTTGGTTAGGAGGGAATCGGAAGAAATGTGAGGGCTTCCCGCTCAGATGAAACTCCCCACTGGATTCAACAAGGCCCTGCCAATGTCGGGACTCATCTCCTCCCCTCACTTCACTCCAGCCACGCTGGCCTCCTCCCCTGTAGTCTTGGACACTTTAAGCTTGTTCCAGCCTCAGGACCTTAGCACCTACTGTTCCCTCTGCCCAGAGCTGCATGGCTCCCCCTTTTCAGATATTCAGGCCTTGGGGCAAATAAAACCTCCTCACAGAGGCCTTCCCCAACCCCCTGAGCAAATTTGCACCCCTGCTTTGTATTCCCCATGGCATTTATGACCACCTGGCACCATACACCTGTCTACCGTCAGTCCCCCACCTCCCCTCTCCCCAGTGGAGTGTCAGCTCCGGAGAGCAGGGGGCTTGTCTGTGCTGCGTCCCTGCATCTAGCATGGGGCCTGGCACATAGCAGGCACTCAGTACATGTTTGTGGAACAGACAGTGATGCCAGGGCCGAAGTGGTGAGTCTGGAGCCTGAAGAGGTGAGGTGGTGGGGCAGAGGGCAGACGGGGGCCCCGAGACCCATCCCACACTGTCTGGAAGTCTGACCCTGACACCCGAGAACCAGGGCCCAAGTCTTCAGAGATGGAACCTGGGTATTTTGTGAATAATCTGGTGCATGATCCAAACACCACAAGAGGGGCCCCACTGGGAGCCCACACCAGGCCCCGCCCACCCAGGGAGGCACCCCCCAGGCCCCTGCCCACCCCAAGGAGGCCCCCCCAGGCCCCGCCCACCCAGGGAGGCCCCCCCAGGCCCCTGCCCACCCCAAGGAGGCCCCCCCAGGCCCCGCCCACCCAGGGAGGCCCACTCCAGCCACGTGGCCCAGGCTGGAAATGTGAGGAAGTGGCAGCATGTTTTGGCTACAGGCAAATTCTACAGCAGGGGACGCTGCTGGAAATCTGTGAGTCCCCCCACGGGTGGAATTTCATAAAGACCCACAGATCTGGGGTCACCCTGGCCTTGGGGAGCAGGGCCTGGAGTTGTTCTGGCCAGATGCTATGCCATGCTCCCCCCGCAGGCCTTGGCACAGGCCGTGTCAGCACAAGGACTCCACAGGCAGCTGGTGGTTAAGAGCAGACTGCCCAGGCTCAGGTCAGCTCCACCACTTCCAAGCTGTCCGCCTTTGAGCAAGTCACTCAACTTCTCCGGGCCTCAGTTGTCCGCATCTGCAAACTGGGGATAATAAGAGTCCCAATCTCCTGGGAATGTCTGGATGATCAAATGAGATGACACGTCGCAAAGCATTTACAACAGTGCCTGGCGCCCAGTGGGTCCTCACCACAGGTTAGCTACTGTTATTATTATTGCCGCTGTCGTTGCTGCTGCTCCATGAATAAAGGAAGGAACAAATACATGAAAGAGGATGTTGGGCCTGGTCCTCTCCCAGCCAGAGCAAAACTGTTAAGTCTTCCCTTCTCCCAGGCTGGGATGGGGGAGCATAGCGGCTGCCACTGTCTGAGGTTTGCCCTGCCTGCTGGACTGGGAGCCCGGAGAGGACAGGGCCTGAGGCCATCTCAGCCACATGTGTCCCCAGCCATGCCCAGCACAGTGGGGGTGCAGCTAGCAAGTGTGGCTAAAGGAAGAGTCACTGCTTCCTTTACCAGCCGGGCCCAGGCCGGTGCTCGGAGCCCCCAGGGAGGCTGGGAGGCTCCCCAGGCTTGGGCGCCCCCTCCCTACCTGGCCAGCACAACAGGGCCTGGACATAAAGGGCACTGTTGGCTCCCCTCACCCCCTAGAGGCGCCCAGGGTGGGGACGGAGGCCACACAAACCTGAGATGTGGGTGAGCCCATAGGGACTGGGAAATCGGAGTAGACTTCATTCATGCCTCCGGAGGCAGGCGGGAAGGGGGGAGGGGGCACCAGGCAGAAAAGAGGCTCCGGACCCCTCCCAAGTCCCCTGGAACCCAGCGCGCGCGTGTGCGCACACACACATACACACACACACAGCCACCGATGCCCACAACACACATTGCCCTCTCCTCCATGGGTCCAAAACCTAGCAAGGAGCACAGAGACACGCACCAACACACACACACACACACACACACACACACGAGCCCCAGCACAGAAGCATCACAGACGGTGCTCCACGGTGCCCAGGTTGTCCACAGGGACCAGGACACAGACACTCAGCCACACAACCGCAGATGCACAGCAACACACACAGCGGTCCCACAGAAAAGCCACTGAGCAGCCAGACAGCAGCAGCTGCCCCAAGCCCACAGCACGTGGACACCCTGTCAGTGGCCGAAGACAGGACCCTGGGCGCGGGAAAGGCTAACCTGCCCAGAGCAGGGCATGCAGACGAGCTGTGAGGCATGAGAGAGAATGTGGGGGAGGCAGCTTAAAGAGGGGCCGGCCTGTGGTGTAGGGGTTAAGTTCGCACACTCCGCTTTGACGGCCCGGGGTTTGTGGGTTCGGATCCTGGGTGCAGACCTGCACACTGCTCATCAAGCCACATTGTGGTGGCGTCTCACACACAAAATAGAGGAAGATGTGCACAGATGTTAGCTCAGCGACAATCTTCCTCAGCAAAAAAAAAAAATAATAATAATAAAATAAAGAGAGGCCAGGCTCAGAGGAAGCTCTCAGAATGGAAAGGCCAGGACAATCGGAGAGCCCATGCTGCAACCCCGAAGAAGCCCCAGCCCCAGGATCCATCCACGAACCCTGCAAAGAGCCACACAGCCCTAGAGACGCAGGGGCTCCAGAAAGAGACACACACAGTACAGACCTCAGCCCCTACCTGGACACACAGGCACACATGTGCACACACACCATCCCAGATGCTCCAAAACCGCCGGACTGATGGACAAAGGTGTCCCCCAGGGCCCCACGCTCCCAGGAGTGCACCCCGAGACACACAGGCAGACCACAGGACCCCACCACCCCGGACCCACACAGTAGGTGATGAGACCCCTGATGGACCCCCACACACCCACGGCCACTCCCAGGGTCACCCAGAGAGACCCAGTGAGGCAGAGTCCCTGCGAACCTGCCCCATGCCCACCAGACCCCAGGAAGGCGCTCCCTGAGACTCTTGGGCCCTGTGCTAAGGCACGGGTGAGCCCCGGCAGACACCTGCCACAGGAACACCCGGTGACACGGTGACCTCGCCCCGACCCAAGGAAGGTGTGGCCCCTGGCACACATGCTTCCACTGGCTTGGGTGGCTCAGGTGTCCAGGAGGCAGGACTGTCCTCCCCATACCCAATCAGCCCTCCCCTCCCCTCCCCTCCACTCCCGCCTGAGGCCCGGGCCAGCTCACCTCCATTATCGTCTTCCCTCCGTCCTGGACCCCCCTCAGTGGGGGCCAGTGGACGAGGGGCCGCCAGCTGGGAGCAGGGAGTGGGGAGCAAGGGGCTCCACCAGCCCTCGATGAGGGTGCCCACCAAGGAAAGCTGGCTGGGCTCTGCGTCCCAGCCTCCCTGGCAGCGGGTGGTGACGCGGCCCTGCCCTGGCAAGAGTAGAGCTTGGCTGTGGCTCCAGCCCACGGGAGGGCGGAGAGTGGAGGCTGGGAGGGAGGGATGGAGGAGGTGGGGCCAAGCCTGGAGAGCTGGGGCCACATGGCCCACGACTGCCCCACAGAGGGAGGGGCAGGGACACTGGAGCAGGGACCCCAACTACGGCCCTTGCTTCAGCAGGGTCAGACCCTACATGCACACGCATGCACACCTCACTCCCCATGCCACGCGAGGCCAGGGGCCAGGGAAGCCACATGGCGTGGGGCTGAGGGCCTGGGAGCAGCTGGCTGGGTGGCTGGTGGGGCAGCCAGGTTTGAAATGACACCAGGGCTTGGGGCTGGACAGAGGGGCGGGGGTGAGTGGACTCTCATCTGGAGGGGTGGCTGGAGACCCAGGGCTTGCTGCTGTCCCCTCTCCCCCACTCCCAGGCTGTGATCCCAGCAAGAGCTCCAAGAGGGCCGCCCCACTCACCCACTAGGACGAACCTGAGACTCTCAGCCTAACCGGGGAGGGGGCAGGATGCAGGGGGGAGCGTGGCGAACCCCCACATCACCACCTCTAGGCGTGAGAGGGGGCCTGGGAGATGTGGCTGGCAGGAACGGGGAGAGGTGGGGAGGGGTGGGCCTTCGGAATGCCATGTCTGGCCAGGATGCTCTAACCCTTCAGAAAATAAGTGGTCCAACTTTCTGGAGAACTTCCTTCGGGCCAGGCCGTGCTCTCAGCATCGACACACACGAAGCTGTTTTACGTCACCAATGCTCTAAATGGACAGGTCCTGTATCAGGCCTGTTTTACAACAGAGGAATCAGGCCCAGAGAAGCTGAGTGACTTGCCCAAGGCACCCAGCAGGGAGCTCAGGCCATCTGTCCTGACACCTGTGCCCTTAACCAGCTGCTCTGAGCATGAGGCTGGCTTGCTCGGAACCCCCATCCCAGAACAGGGGAAGAAGATGCTCAGAGAGCGGGAAGCCAGAGGGGCTGCGCTGGCCTCGCCCGTCTCGGCCTTGCACCTCGCTCCTCCTGCAGACCTTTGCTGGCTCAGGTCAGAGCTCCCTGCGTGAAACTGGTTCTTGTGTGATGGTCTGTCTGTCTCCCCCACGACAGGGGCGGGGGACACGACTTGGGGGGCAGGGGTGGGGCTGCCTGGCTCAGCCCTCTCCAGCCTTCGGTCCCTCCCTCAGGCACCTTCTCCTGCAGGAAGCCTCCCTCAGCCCCTGGCGGGGTCCGGTCCCTCCTCTGGGCTCCATCCCAGCACTGCCCCCTCCAGGCTGTCACTATCCCTGTCACGTCTTTCCCCCCCGCAGGCTCCCAGCACACACCCGCAGGTCTGCTGGAGGCCCTGAGAATTCAGCAGTGGACACACCAGACAAAACTCCCCTCCCGGGGGTGGCACCCGAGCAGGGCTGCGCCCTCACTGGAGGGCAGGTCCTGTGAGTGGCAAGGACCCGGGTTGTGCAGTGGGCCAGGCCCAGGGCAGGGGCCGAGTGGGCCAGTGGCTCAGGTGGGCAGGTGGACAGAGACGCCTTGTCCTTCCTGCTCCCCGGCTTGGCACCCGCAGCTGCTCCCTCATCAGCCAGCTCCCAAAGGACTTGATGGCTCTGACCAGGAGCACTGCACCAGCTCCCAGGGCCGGACTCCCAGCCGCCCACCACGCCAGGGGCCACAGCAGGGCAGGTCATCCCCTCCCCCACTGGGTGGAGCACCTGTTGGGCAGCCACCCAGAGAGGAGCCAAGGAGGGCGGGCTCCCCAAACCTCCCCAAACCGGACAGGCTGGTTTGGGCTCCGCAGGGGAGAAGGTCAGGATCGGGCAGTTCTGGCCAGCCAGGGAAACTAGGTCCAGCGGGAGGGAGGGAGAGGCAGGGAGAGGCAGGGGGAGGGAGGGAGTGGCCCTCCTCCAGAAGTCTCACTGGAGACAAGGGGTCCTCCTGGGCCAGCCCGTAGGGGCAAGGGGAGGGCAGTCCAAGGTCTCGCACCCGGAACAGACCTTTGTTTATCATAAAACTTTTAAAACACACCCCAAATAGAGACTGAGCCAATGAACCCTCATGAAACCTGTCACTCGGATCCCCCAGTGTCAGCCGTCCGCCACCTCAGGGCTTGGTCTGTGCCCATCTTCTCCTCTCCTTTCTCTAGCTCAGCTCTGTGTCTCTCAGACGGCACAGGGTTCAGAAGCCAATGGCACTGCCAGCACGCGCCTGCCCCAGCTCAGCCCTGGGGGCAACCTCTAGTGCAGGTTCCTCTGTCTTCTTTCAGAGAGAGCCTTCACATGCGTGTGTGTGCCTGTGCACACATGCTTGCACACTTTTTAGAAACACCATACACCACACAGGCACGGAGGCTCCTCGGCTCTCCTACGCTGCGGGCCCAGCGGAGGTGCAGACGCACACTTGGCATCTGGCAGCACTCTCCTGGGTCTGTCCCCAAGCAACTGTGGCTGCGGGCCCCGGGGATGGGCGTGGGAAGGTAGGCGTGGGAAGGTTGACACGGCACAGTCTGAACGGGCCGGAGAGTGGGGACACGGTGACTGGGGACATGGCGAATGCCTGACTGCTGGTGATGGACAATGACCTGCGATCTCCGGGCTCCAGGGAAGAGCACATGACAGCGAGAAGGGCTGGCCCACGGCCACATGCGGACGCACATCGAAGGTGATGCTAAACAGAAGCAGCGAAGCGTAAGATGATACATCCTACACTTTGTTTAGAAAAAGTTCAAAACCAGACAAAATGAAATACGCTGTTGAGGGGCGCATGCAGGGGTGGCAAAACCAAGAGAGAAGCAGGCAGCGACTGTCACCACAGTGGGCGAGGGGCTGCCTCTGGGGGTGGACCCGGCTTCCTCGCCTGCAGGGGCGCTGTGGGGGTCTTCCCTCCATGGTAACCGGTTATGCTCTACTTTTACGCTTTATGCACTTTCCAGAGTCTATGAAACAATTTTAAATTATGATTTTAAAGAAAAATATCTCCCTCTCATATCCGCGCCTTGAGCTCTGCAAAGCACAGCCTCGTGGCAGCCGCGTGGAAGGGCCCCGATGCCCTGAGCCAGTCCCCACGGGGCCAGGTTGGGGGTCCAGGCTTTTGCTTTTACAGATGGTGTGGCAATGACGAGCACGTGCAGTGCAGACGTCACATCACAGGTGTGCCAGGGCACCTGTGGGCCAAATGCCCAGGAGTGGAACTGCGGGGGCGGGAGGGGGTCCCCGCCCCTGGGGCTTACACTCTAGGGTGACACAAATGAAACGTGAAATTCCAGCCGAGATGGGCTGGCTGGAGGGACGAGAGTGTGGCTGTGGTGGAGCCCGGCCAGGGAGGGGCAGGAGCCAGGCCACTGGGTGGGGGGCTGGGGGGGGCAAGGCAGGACAGGGGAGATGAGGATGGGCCTACATTTGAAAGATGTACCTGTGGCCACCTTGTCTGTGGAGGACAGGACACGGGGCCTGAGTGGGTGTGGGGACAAGTGACAAGACCATAGCACTGCTCCAGGCAATGGATGAAGACACCCTGATGGCTGGACATGGAGACGTGGGGACAGACTGAACCGACATCTGCTGAGAAAAAGCAACGCCTGCTATGAGTCAGACACAGGGGCTGAGGACGAGGCAAGGGCCTAGGAAAATCACAGTGCCATCGGCCACACGGGTAGCCCAACTGGAGCTCCCCAAACGCCAGGCCCAGCCCCTAGATGAGGAATAAAGTGGGGGGACTCCCTCTCCCCGATATCAAGGCCTGCTACACAGCTACAGTACTCGAGACAGTGTGGATAAACACACAGATCAGTGAACAGAACAGAGAACCAGAAACACACCCACACGGATACACCCAGCTGGTTTCTAAAACACTGATTTTTTCATTGTGGTAAAATATACATAATATTTGTCCCTTTTACCATTTGTAAAGCGCATAATTCAGTGGCATTAAAGACATTCACGATGTTGTGTAACCACCATCACTGTCTGTACCCAAAACTTTTTCATCATTCCCAACAAAAACCGTGTGCCCATCAACCACACTCCCCATGCCCCTCCCCCGGCCCCTGGTACCTGCCATCCTACTTCTGGTCTCTCTGAGTTTGCCTCTTCTAGGAACCTCATATCAGTGGAATCTTACAATATTTCTCCCACGCCTGGCTTATTCCACTAAGCCTAGTTTTCAAGGTCCCTCCATATTGTAGCATATATCAAGATTTCACTCCTTTTTTATGGCTGAATAATACTCCACTGTGTATATACACCACATTTTGTTTATCCATTCGTCTGTTGATAGACACTTGGGCTGTTTCCTCCTTTTGGCTGTTGTGAACAAGGCAACTATGACCACCGGTGTACAAGTACCTGTTCAACCCTCTGTTTTCAATTTCTTTTGGATATACACCTAGGAGCAGAATTGCTGGGTCACATGGTGACTCCATATTTAACTTTTTTTTTTTAAAGATTTGATTTTTCCTTCTTCTCCCCAAAGCCCCCCGGTACATAGTTGTATATATTTTTTTTAGTTGTGGGTCCTTCTAGTTGTGGCATATGGGACGCTGCCTCAGCATGGCTTGATGAGCGGTGCCATGTCCGTGCCCAGGATCTGAACCAGTGAAACCCTGGGCCGCCGAAGCAGAGCACGAACTGAACCACTGGGCCACAGGGCCGGTCCCTGTATCTAACTCTTGAGAAACTACCAAACTGTTTTCCACAGCGGCTGCATCACAGTGGTACGCATCCACCAGCAACGTACGAGGGTCCGAGTTCTCCACATCCTCAGCAACGCTTGCTACTTCCCATTTTTTTGACAATAGCCATCCTGGTAGGTGTGCAGTGGTATCTCATTGTGGTAAGTGATTTTTGACAAAGAAACATAAGCAAATTCAGTGGAGGAAAGACTGCATTTTCAACAAATGTTGCTGGAACAACGGGACATCCATACGCCAAAAAATGAAGCTTGATCTAAACCTCACTTTGCACATTAACTTATGACGGATCACAGACTTAAACGTAAAATGTAAAACTATAAAACTTTTAGAAAACAAACAAACAAATCTTCGGGATCTGGGGCTGGGGCAGAGTTCTTAGATTTGACACCAAAAGCACGATCCATAAAAGGAAAAATTAATATTGTAGACCTCCACAAAATTGAAACCTTTTGCCCTACAAAAGTCCACGTGAAGAGGATAAAAAGCTAC